TATGACGTCACCACTTTCCTCATTTGCATAATACAAAAATGTGAATATCTCTAAAACGAAAAAAGATATTTCAAAAAGGAAAACGCCATTCTTCTTTACTTTGAAAAGCCTTTTAAATAAGCAGGATTTTTTTTTTTTACTTCACAGGCACTTTAAATTACCTGAAAGGATTTTAATTCTATGATCCTTTCCACTGGAACAGCTGAGTCACTCCATATGAGGAAACTAAAAAAAAAATAGACTTTGCTCTTCAGGATAGATAAGTTTAACATTCAATTTCATACACCATGTGTTTACCAAATGCTACAGTCTGTAACAAAACTATTTTGAGTCAAAAACCCCTATGCCATAAAATAGTTATTATCAATGTATAAAGACTAAAGTGAAGCCTTCTAAGCTCTGAACTGACTCAACAACTCCAGCAACTGGCAACAACTCCGGCCAATGCGAGAGACCAGTTTCTGTACCAAGAAGACACTACATGTAAGTGCATGTATCAGTATTGCTGCTTGCTTGTCCATTACAAGTTTACCCCCCCTCCCACCCCCTTGCATTTGTCAGTTTGTCTCAACAATTCACTGGTATCTGTTTATACATGTACTCAGTGGTGGAGAGAGGCACTGCAAGAACAAAGTGTCTTGCCAAAGAACGCAGCACAATAACCTTGAATAGACTGTAATTGTTTTCTCACTATACTTAACAATTATTCACCAAAGGCGAGGTGAATATTGTCACATAATCCCCGAGATGAAGTCAAGGGGATTATTCGACAATACTCACTGAGCCTGAGGTGAATAATTGTTTTAGTATAATTTCAGAGCTGAACAACAGAGAATATGGACTAAAACATAAAAACAGGGACCCAATTGTCATTTGCATACATGTACATGTATGCAGCCATATAGTTTTAACAAGAGGCTTACATGTAAGCTTACATTGATTGTAAATCAGTTTAATCATCGAGTTTGGTAGTAAAACAGACAAGCGAAACACCACAAAAAATAAATTCATCCGGTACCTTTGTTTTATCGCTGTTGACTTCATACACAGTTGTCATCATCGTCTCAAAATGAGTAGCTTTAGTTTGGAGAAATACAGATTTCGGTCAATTGATCTGACCTGCTGGCAATCAATCTAACCACTGCATTTACGATTCTTAACTGCCTTGAACACAAGTTCTTGAAAGGATTTTTGATCCAAGAATGACAGCAGTCATTTTGAAAATTCTCCATCCTTTCAAGTATCCTGGACTTAGAGTGATGTCTTCTGAATAGATGAAAAATTCATTCACCAACTGTCCGCCATGTTTACTTGCCGAGATGGTAAAGGTGGCGAGCTTAGTAACCAGGCCTTGAAAATGTTATATAAACCGCCCAGCGCAGTTTATATATACTGTCATATAAGGGATCGCTGAACCAATCAGATTGCTAGAAACTCTGTTCAGCTCTGAAATTATACTAAATATATATATAGGACTTACACGTAAGAGCGAGCTTGCAACTGAGGCTAATGCAGGGAGTTTTTTTCAAATGCAAATAATAGTAACATCTTTTTAATGATATTCCCACACATGACCCTCCCTATTTTCAAGCCAGCTCCAGTCCAATACCAAGAAATTACTCAAATTACTCAAATCAAGACTGCACCAGTCTCTACCTCCTATTACAAACTCAATACAGTGTATTTTTATATTATAATTAAGGAAAATTTAAAAATGATCTCTGGCTGAAGCTATTAAAACATTACAATCTTTTGGTAAAATGTGAAGTAAACTGTTTCACATTTTACTCATTGAAGACTGTAGTTCAGGCAGTTGAAAGCTGGTAATTTTTTAATCATTAAGCGTTTCAGCCAGAGATCATTTTTACATTTTACCATGTTTTATCCTGGCTACGGCCCTTCACTATTTTCAAATATTATAACTTAGTTTGCTCTCTAACTTACTTTAGGAGGAATGCATTATATGTACAGTTGTATAAGCTCATAATTATAAAAAGAGGTAAAGTCTGCATATGAGCTAAGTGGCCCATCAGGCTGGAGCTTATCCCAGTTTCTGTATCATGAAGCGACTATGAGTATCTCTACTCCCCCCTGGATGGGTTGCTAGTCCATCGCAGGGTTACCCCCAGCATTAAATTTGCTGGTACCCTTTTATATACCTGGGTGGAGAGAGGCAAGGTGAGAGTAAAGTGTCTTGCCCAAGAACACAACACAATGTTCCCGGTAAGGGCTCAAACCCAGACCACTTGCTCCGGAGTTTAGCGCACTAGCCATGAGGCCACTGCACCTCCCCTAGCTCATAATTATGTATTAATAATAATTATAAATAATGATTAAATACCAACCTATTGAAATCGTCATCTCTTGTGATATACATTCCACTCTGAAGACAAACTTTACGAACTACGGAAGAAAATTTCAAACCAATTTACTTGATAAATAAATTAATAAAATAATGTCACATGAAGTTAGAGATGGGTAATCGTCAGATCTTAATATATTATTTTCCTACCTTAGATATTCTTTAGCTTTCTGATCTCAAAGCTCAACAAGCAGATTTTTTCATTCTAGATCCCATTAACTAATTTCCACAAGAAAACTGAGAAGAGAGTTGAAAATACGACGCACAGCAGAGTATTTTTGACGAACTTTGAGGTGTTTGGAAATGTGGTCAAACACAGTCTTTAGTGTTTGATATATTACCTCTCAAATTACAAAGCATCCTTGTTTAACTTGATGAATTAATTACGAGTTTGAGAAGGTGATTTGAAGAACTGTCTGAACTAAATAATGTGTAGTTCCAGAAAATATTCATACCTCCCCCACGAAAGAGATTTTTCCTAAGACCCCCCCCCCCTGAAAATTCCAATCAATTAAGCTTCATATGTTTCTTTAAATTGTTTGGTCTTACAGAAACCCCCACCATCCCCTGCCCCTATGAAACCTTCTGTGGGGGGAGTATGAATATTTTCTGGAACTCCATAGTCTTTCAGCCAATCAAAATATTGAGAATGTTCTAATTCAGGCTATCACAGAAATGGTGTTAATGCATGTCAACACATACTATTAAACCTGTTTTAAGGTCTGTTGATAATTACGTGATCAATTTACTATTCTTGTTATCTCTGTTTAATCTCTACTTTTTAGAGTCTCCTTGATTAATTGTTAATTAACAACAACATGAAATTTGATGTTTCATTATCTGACGATCTTGCATATTTTTGGTGAAAAAGCGAAAATTCAAAACCGACTCTGTTTGGTTTACCGTTATGTTACGACATGCGTTACTACACACAATGAAGGTCGCTGCAGTATAAATAAATAAGTTGGAGAAAATGTTCTCCGAATAATAATTTGTCTACATGTAAAGTTTATGTTGTTTATGTTGCTGACCATCAAGTGCGCGCGACAGTGTTCCCAAACTCACAAATATCATTTGAACCAAAAAAAGAACCTGTGAATTCAAGAACATTTGAATTCATCGATCATTTCAGAGTTTGAAGCAATGGCAAAATGATCTGAAGACCTAAAGACGACATTCTGAAGACAAAGACACAATTAAGCTCTTTTGAAAAACAGAAGTTTACTATTCTAACCCGCAAATACAATGAGGACAATGGCGGCGATTATTTCGTTTCAAAAAAGCAAAATCGTCCGTGCAATGAACCAAAGTGGATGACACGAAACACGAATCTTTGAAGAACGTATGTTTGAACTTTAAGAAAGCATCTTGGTCAGCAAATGGAGCCATAGTGTTTTTAAAAAAACTTGGTAATAACGCATGGCCATTTAGGTATTAGATCATTACATTGCTTTCCTTACAGTGGATTTATATGGTTGGCAACAGTGTATAATGCAATTTCTACTCACCAACTTCGTATTTTGTTGCAGCTATATTAGCTGTAACCCGGCGTTTCCTAACAGGCTTTTTTTTGTTCGAATTGTTTACCATGCGTTTGCGATCCTGGTTTGTCTGTGCCGTTGTTGGGTGTCGAACTTTCTCCACATCTTCGTCTTCGCAATCCTCAGCTATAGATGCTTCGTCTTCGATTTCTTTCCCTTTTTGATCACAATTATCATTCACAGTGCTCGAATCAAGCAAATTAAAGTGGTCTTTAGCCATGGCAGCCGCGTTTTCAGCTAAATCATGATTGCAATCGTCCATAGTTACCGATCGTAATGGCGTGCGAGACGACAGCGGAATCTCTTGGGGAAAATTGTCTTTGCTCCCAGAGGAGATGTCCAGATTTACCCTTTTCGCGCATTATTAACCCATTGTGGTGCTAAAAGTACCAAGTCGTCATCTCCTCGGAAATGATTTTGAAAACTTGATCTGAAAAAAAAGTCTTGAATGATGATTAGTGCGTACACTTTTGAGATTCTGTTGGTGTAGCGTGACGTTTTCACCATGGCAACATTCGAGTACCGTAACGGAGCGTAACGAACGCGGAAGTCTGGAAAGAAAAGTTCCTTTCGCTAGTTTTTGCGGTCAGACTTCTTGTTCGCTTTGCTTCTGTATAAGGATAGATACACACAAGCAGTACAGAAACTTTAAAAGCATATTATCCCTTCCATCTTTGCTAAATAAAGTTGTGATTCCGGACCGAGAGATTCCGGAACATTTGCTTTGTCTTTCATAATTCGATTCCAGGTCAAGGGTTACCACTGCCATATTTGGAGGCTACTGTGCATGCATGTTGAGCTACATTCCTCTGTTCAGTCGCATTGTCACACCCTCTCCAGCTCGTAACCTTCTTTCCAAACCGTTGACTGGGAGTTACTAGGCTAAACTGTCTTGCAATCATGGGTTGAATCGTCGATATCGTCGATCAAGATGTAGTGCGGCAACACGCTGATCCCAATGCGTCGTATTTTCCCTGTTAGATCATCAAAGTGAACAAAGGTAAGGGAGTTGATGTTATCAGGTTTGTGTACAGTTGTATGCGATGAAAGAAATGTTTGTTGCATGTAGTTCGGTATAGAATTACAAATAAGTGATAGTTTATTGTCATAAATTTATATTTGAAACGTTTACTTTACATGTAGTTGGTGTAAGACATAGGTAGTTTGTGTTTGCGGCAGATTTACAGTGAGTAAGGAGTAAAGTAGGTGCGAATCACAAAGGAAATGATGAGTAATCACTTTCACTTGCGAGTACATTCCATAAGGGAGATTTGAGTTGTTTGTTAAATGTCGTGAAATTATAATTGGTGGGGACTTTAACTTAGTTCTTGACGTTGAAAAAGACAAGAGGGGTGGCCTTGCCAGAACACACAAAAATGCCTTAAAAGTGATTCGAGATTTCTCTGAAAATCTTGGTTTGACTGATA